CTATCAACTCTGCAATATGGACTCAAATAAAAACGTTTTCTAGGTTATACTCAGCGTTATAGTGCAGCTAAGTCAGTAATGTGCTTTGTGACACAAGCCGCAACATTCTCTGGACACAGAAAGTGATGGGTTGTTTTAAACCGCAACTGTGGTTTGGATTAGAATGCACTGTGAGGTTCAAGAGAATGGTAAGCATTACCAGTCACCAGCCATACCAGCCAAACTAATAACACAAAGTCACCAACAGAAAGACAATAGAAAACCTAACAGTTCCTAATCCATGTTACTGTCAATTCTGATTCAAACTGATCTCTGGGAGCTACACTGGAAAACTCAACAGCAGTGACCGCTTAGCACTCAAGATGTTGCCAAACTGGAACAAACAGCACACACCTTATCATTTTAATCAGACCCTGTTTTGGCTTTTTGAAAAGTATTTGTGTTGCAATCTCAGGCATTCATGATTTACAGTAAGTGCAACTTCTGGAACAAACTACACAACCTCTCACATCTTATTGTAAGCCAAGCAAATCATTTGCATATATTTTGAAGCCTGAAAATGCTGAATCCTTATAAAGAAACCCACATGTGACAATCTCTACATAAAATAGCCCAGAAAGACAGAGAGAAGAATGCGCCTGCACTGACAGTGAGACAGATATGGTCCGAGTCAGCTGAGGCCCTGCTACTTCTCTTGTGCTGTGACATATGCTCTCTGGGTCTCTGGTGTCTCTGGTGTCTCCTCTGATCCCTTTCACAATATGATAAATGCTGCAAAGATGAGCGTTAAACTGTGCACACAGAGGAACGCCATGGTCAAAGGGGCCTGTTTCAACATGTCTTCAAGTGGTCCTCTCCTCTTCCGCTAGTCCTACCAAAGACTTGAATTTCAAATAAGATTTGCTTTCTTGCAAAGAGAAGGTCGATGCCACTAAATGTGCTATGTTACAGGGATTGTGTAAAAAAAAAAGAAAAGGATGAGTACTGTGTGTAGGGAAGGCTGGATGTATATGTATGTATATACTAGAACTAGAACATAAATATGTTAAGAAGAACAAGGATTCCTCTAAAGAAGCAAGACATACTAAGTGTTCAGATTAACATATTTCTATTTCAATATCCAGGGTGGTGACCACAATAATAAAAACAAAGTAAGAAAAACCTGTGCACCATAGATTTTAAGGGCCATTAAACTCCTAGAGCACAGCTACAACGTTGACATAAATATAACACATTAAAATAAAACAACTAAATAGAATAGAATAAAAGTAAATGGGCAGACGCACTGTTACTCTACAAAGTGCCTAATAAATGCCATAAGGACGATATTTTCTTTTGGCAACTCAATCTTTCCAACTCAAATCAAGTTTGGTTCCCTTTGAACTACATGACTGCAATTTGAAAAAAAACATGCAGTACGCAAAGAAAACATTCACCTAGTTAAATTCAGATTATTAATTGGAATATTTGGCACTACAATAACACTTCTTAACCAACAATTACAGAGCTCATGCAGTCATCAGCTCATGGCGTGCAGGTGAACCGAAATGCACCTATTGCCTTGGCTCTTTTAAATAAACATTGTGGGAAACAACTGTGGCTGCAGCCAACAACCATAAACCAACATGATTATGTTAAGAATGTGTTTGAGATTTATAGATCCAACAGGATGTCACTGTGTGCTTGCACCACAGCCAGCAGTTTGTCAAGCAAAACCAACATGAAACCTCACCGTCCTCACTTGGAAAACTTATCAGAAGAGATTCTTTTACAATCTGGCATTTCTCTACTTCCAATTGGCTTTCCAGGAAAGGAAGAACAGAAATAGATTTAAAGCAAGATGATTGACAACATGTTAGAAATGAGTTCCCCGAATAAAAAGCACTGCATTCCCGCAAAGTTGTGTTTCAGCATTTACTAGGTGTCCATCATGTGTGGGGGAGTTGGGTGATTGACAATTGTCAAGTACAATTTCTTGATAAAATGATTCAACTTTCAGCTTGTATCCATCAAAAAAGCCAACAGGCATTTGTCAAACGTTGTTGCTGTACATTTTTCCTGCACCAAAATCAATACAAATACCTTAAAGGTCCCATGTCATGGCCATTTCTACTGATCATAATTCCATTGTTGAGGTATACTAAAATACATTTATATTGTGCAATTTTCCAAACTCACATTGGTTTCTCATACAGCATCTCTGTATAGTATGTGTATTCACTCTCCGTCCTAAACGGCTTGTTGGAGCTCCTGCCCCCCCCCCCCCCCCCCCCCCCCCCCCCTGTGAGCCCAGTGGCCGTTTGCGAGACAGCGAGACACAGCGAAACCCAGCGCGAAACACACACACACACCCCGCAGCCTGGCTGGGAGTTTGTGTGTGTGCCCAGTCTGAGTTCCGCTGTGTCTCGCCGACCCCACACCAGTGAGCCAGCTCAAAGTGTCCCGCTCCTTGCAGCAGCGAACCACGCAACGTCCCGCCGAGTGTGTGTGTGTGAGGAAGTCCGCGGATTGGTCCAAACGTAACGGCCGTTACGTTACGTTACGTCACTATACCCGAAATACGTCACTATACCCAAGAAGTAAAAAATGGAAAAAGAGAAATCCCCAACGAGGCGTTCTGGGGCAGTACAGGGTGTACTTTGAGGGTTTGTGATTCTGCAGACCGTTTATATGCATAAAAAGCTACATAACACACAAGGGGGCAGGTAATAACCAGAAAAGCATGACATGGGACCTTTAAAAGCAGCGGTTTTCAAAGTGTGAGGCACGCCTCCCTGGGGGGGGGGCGCCAGAGAGCTTCAGGGGAGGCGCAGCGTGAGAAAAAAATGACGAGAAACAGTTCAATCTAGCTAGTTGACTTCAGCTAACTTTATGCGAGCAGCAACATGGATCGATTTTTAGTGAAGTTACCTAAAGTGAGAGAGGAGACAGCGTCTGGCAGAAAACGTCACTTGCACACTTTTGGCTGTCTGTGGAGACCGAGTTCCCCCACCTCGTCAAAAAGGCTGTAAAAGTGCTCATTCCCTTCTCCTCCGCCTACCTGTGTGAGTGCGGGTTTTCCGCATTGACTTTGATCAAAAGCAAGTACCGGTCAAGCAGGGGCGGATCTACCTGGATGGCATGGGGTGGCAACTGCCACCCTAAAAATAGCCTTGCCACCCCAGTTGGCAGCTTTGTTTTGAAATGAAAGTTGTGGCTCATCGGACATTTATGAGAGAAAATCCCTAATGTCCGAGTGCAAGTGAATGCAGCACAAGACGCGAGCCTTGTAACCCCTCCCCCGGCCCTGGCGCGAGCGTGGAAATATGATTGGCGGCGATTTCATTTTAACGGGACGGCGCAAAACGAGAAGCATTCGGACCCAAGTAGACGAAAGGAATGAGGTATTTGCGGTCTACAAAGACAGAGAAGAGACTGTCAAGTTTGGCTGTACGCAGCATTGAATCAAAACGCACCATAGCTTTAGATCTTAATACGTTTGTGAGGCGTTTTGCTGAACAAGATGGTAAGCGCCGCATTCAGCTGTTATAGGCATGCCAACTTGATGCTCTGCTCACGGATGACTCGATGAGCATAACAAACTGTTAAAATGATGACCTTACGTGTGTAAATATTTTTTTTTCTTTGTGGGGGTCTGTTCCCAAAAAACAGTTATAAGTCCTGAGAAAGTCAAATAAGAAGGTGTGTAAAACTAGTAACCACTTTGATTTAACTAGGCCAGTAGGTAAGGGCATTCCACTGGATAATAATACCCCTGCATTATAGCGACAACAATAATAATAATAATAATAGCAATAATAATTGGGAGGGGGGGCACGGCTGTTCTTATGTTCTCTGAGGGGAGGCTCACCTTCCCACACTTTGAAAACCCCTGCCTTAAAGGAAACAAACAGTGGATATCTGAATTAATTTTTTAACCAACTAGCCCTTTAAAGTCAGTAGTTACAAGTTGTTTTCAACATAGCTCTGAGGTGGCCCCTTGAAATGAAGACAGATTAGGTTCTAACAACTTAATCCGTGTTCTCTGACAGGAGTGTTGCTGCGCGGAGACGCTGTGTCCACGGTGTCTCTGAACTCTGATCATTAAAACCAGTGTCAAAGCATAATAGTCCAATCTGAAGGCTTCTGGATATTTAGATTGCTATGAACTCTGATGTTCACAAAGGATGATTAAGAGGGAAATCCACCCGGGCGTCCCATAAAATCCCTGAAAGCCATTAGATACCTTATTATTTAATAACTCTAAAGTCTTCATGGAGTTATTTTTATATCTGCAAAAGCCTTTTTAGGAAGCAGACATTTTATAACTCATTTAAACATCCGACAGAAAGTACATTCATTGAAAATAATCACAAGTAAACCACGTCAACTGTAAAAATAAACATTGGAGGATGTTTGCTTATTTTGTTTTAAAGTTATAAGCAGTCTCAGGCAATACACTTTTGTGAACACAGCAACCAAGCACCATCTAATCAACATTCATGCTCTGAATATTTAAATGACTAGTAAAAAGTTATAATTAACATCACGTAGAGTAATATTTTGCAATAATTTTTGTGAACATAAACCAGTGGTAAAAGGTAACTAATTACATGTATTAAATTATTGTATTTAAGTATAATTCTGAGGTAACTTAACTTAAGTACTTCCATTTACTGCTAATTGAGCCCCAAGGATACATTCACAAGCATCCTGACAGTATATAGAGTAATTAAAATAGGCTCCACTTTTACCATCTGCAACATTAAAGTGATGAACACATTAATGCAACAACAATTATATTGCAATCACATAATCATTTGAAATGGGACATTCTGCATAATGAGTACTTCTACTTTAAGTATATTTTGATGCATATAATTATGGATTTCAGTTAAATTAAAGTTGTAGTAAGCTATAACTACTTAAGTGTAATATCTAATGCTTTCTTCTCTGCAGCTTGATCATTTCACAGCATTATAACCCTTTTAAGTTGAACAATAACTAAATTCCTCCCTTACCTGTAACATGTTGTAACTTCTCCACTCGGCTTCAGGCAGGGGTACTTTGTCGTGGAAATCTTATTCTCTGAGCACTCTTCACTGTGAAAGAAAACATTTTAAAGTGAGACATTTTTCTCTAACCTTATGCAAGTACTCTTCGTTTGTGTGCTGCAAATAATTACCCGTCACTGGCATCCTCCTCTTGGTAGGACCAGAGCAGACCTCCTGAGATGTACATGCAGGTGACGGCGAGCAGAAGAGGACTCCTGTTGTGGTTTAGTATCATCTCATCGGTCCAGACACCTGGGTGCTGCTGACAGTAATCCACACGTGTACTGATTACTCCTCACTGCTACAGCTTCAGGGAGTAGTGGTTAGCAGCGCGCGCGAGACCCTCCCACTCCTCGTGCTGCTGACTGAATGAACTGTCACTACAGCGGCGAGCTTAACTTCCCCAACTCCGTAGCCTACTTTTGACAGGTCATGCCAAGATTCAATATGAGTCAATATGTTCACTACATAGTAAAGGTTGGGAGAAAATAAAGACTTGTGACTTTTATCTTTGACTACATAACGTGTTTGTCGACAATTTGCAAGTAACACATTGAGACTGCGACTGTTGTTACAGTGTTAAGGTAAAACTTCACAGAAAACTGGCTCATAAGTTGTCTGCCTGTATAACCCTATGGTTTAACCACGTAAATACAAATACATATATTTTTGTAATGCTCCCTTAAACATATTTTAGCAAAGAAGTTTTCTGAAACATAAACATACCTTTTATTTTCTTCGTTAAACCGGTGAAAGTGACAGGAACGGAGCAGTTACTTTTACCCCATCGTTCACCCACGAGCTCTCTGTGCGTCATGACGGCTGCTCTCTGCTACCACCACGTGGCTGTTACTGAAATAACTCCTCAATAATAAAAATAGATACATATTAAAATAACTACAAGAACAAGTGCAAACCTTCTCTACTATGATAATAATGTGAGAAGTCAGATTTGGATACAACTCTATTCCTTCCCGTGTTTCAGTTAAATACATCTGACTAAACCAACACATTAAAAATGCATTGGTGGTCTAATATGAGCACACATTCATTTCAAATCATTCATTTATTGTACCTGTTTGAAGTTGTAAGCACACATTATTCATAAATTGATTTAACAAGATTTAATAAAATATTAAAGGGGCACCTGACATTTAGAGAATAACTTCTCAAGAGGAGACAACTGTTTCATTTTAACAGTGGCTTTCCCAAAGTTGAAATACTGAGTTCAATTGTGAAAAGTTAAGGATACTATATATAACTTTGGAGCTTAATCCATAAGAAACGATATCAGGTTAGCTTGGCCGCTTTGGTTTAAAGTATGACTGTTTTTTTACTTTTTATTAAATGCAAGAGCATCAGAAGGAACTAAGTACTAAGCAGTAACTTACATGCTCTGTTAACCCAAACTCACCATACTAACTTGCTCATTATTTAAATCAAGCTTTTTGAAAGGTATACTGTAGATAAGAAAGATTTCCCCCCAATATGTTGTTGACTATCATTTTGAATTGCCCATGACCTTTGTGTGACCTCTAACAGTAAGCCTGATCTGCAGTGAAAAAACACTGTTTACTGAATAAAAGGAACAAAATAAAAGAATGAATGACTGAATGAAGGAAACCTTTATTGACCTTAAATACATTTGCTTTACAAAAATAGCATGAAAGATGATCAAAAGAACATCAACAAGCATACAGGAAACCATATACTATAAAATAAAACAATCAAACACATCATAACAAGCATATATTAGTATATTGATAAAGGCTAATCAGGTGTGTGTTGAAGAAGGTGCCACATGCAGACTCTCTGATCAGAGCTTGTTAGGCAGTTGAATGCTGTGATGGATACATTATGTAAAGCCTTTTAACATCCACATCCTGGGCATGCAATGTATACCTTCCTCCTGAAGATAAAACTTGCAGAATCCAAAAGTTCTTCAGTTTCTCAGGAATGCAGTATGACATTACAGGGAGTTGGAAAGCAGATAACTGGAGAGCCTGTAAAGGATATCCCAGTGAAACAGGAGGACTGCGGTGTCACTTACAGCCACTATGGTAGCTTTTCAAACTGTGAGGTCATTCAGGTATGATTTACCTTTATTAAGAATATAACACTGGTCAGAATGTCTAATCAGGTGAAACGTAATACAGAATTTCCTCTCACATTAATGGTTTACTTTTTCCATTGAAAAGGGAATTGTACCTCTTACAATATCAATTACCAGAAAAATAGCACCTTGAGCTTGCTTCAAAGGGCCTGCTCAAGCATGACCATTTCAGTGGAAGGGAAAGCAGTGTTTCACCGATCCACCTGCTTCATTACATCAGAGCCTCTAAGCCTCAGCCACCGTCTGAGGTTGCAGTTCAGTTCCTGGCCACTTGATGGCCCTTTCAACCAAGAGATAGCACCCCCACCTCTTTCGCCACCACCGTCATCATTGCCCACAAAATGGATGACAGCTTTTAGAAATACCAGGGTGCGTCACGACTCTGAGGTGCACATGCTGTGCCATTTATGTTCCACCTGTTTGATGCCTCAGCAGCCCGAGAGGCAGAGAATGATCATGCCTTCAACAGCACAATTCATGTCGCAGGCTGATACTGTGTCAAAGCTGCAGGGCTAATAACCTCAAAACAATGTCTGGAAACATCCTCTGCCTTATGGATATGAAATAATGATCATCAATTTCCTGGAAGCAACAGAGAACAAAGGAAGCCTTTCACCCCTTACTATGTTCATGCACTTTATTGTCTGTTTTAGATAAATTAGTTTTATTATGCTGTCTTAGTTTCTGGGTTTAAGTGGTTAAAGATGGTTTGCTAGGACTGGGAGTGTTGGCATATTTGCTTTAATTGGTCCTTTGTTTTTGTGCATCTGGTTTCTGCATAATAAACTTTAAGGACATTTCAATCAAACACCATGATCTCATTACATTCTTTTTCTGTTCTCATTGTTTACCAAACCAGCATTAGTGTTGTTTCCCTGACCTAGAAGGATTCGTTAGAGCACATGTGGACTATTTCTTTTTCACTTAACAAAGTCACATCAAGTAAAACTCTTGCCCTATCTACTGCCGTGTTAGGGAAAACAAATGGACCTGAAATTAGATCAGATGGATGAAAAAGTGATCCAGGGAGAATGGACACAGTTGGTAGAGGTTTGTTGGGAAGAAAAACAAGCCAATAAAACTGTCTGTGATGGAACTTGGTTGTTTCTTTTGATTAAGGAGCTGTCTTCTGAGATCTCTACAAGAGGTTAAAAAGGTTAAGGGTGGAGCAGAACTATTGCTAACATTGGATGTGATAGTTTTGGGGTTGCATTCCACCAAATGGACTCAGTTTGCTTTTGGGTAAGAGAAAGACAAAAGTACACTGAATTGCTGCCCGATGAGAATATGTGCTGTGAAAACCAATTCAGTGCCTTGTAGGTCGCCGACACTGACATTGTCATTAACCTTTTCATGCTTAATGGATGCTTCATACTGCAGCAGTGGAATATTCACGAATATAGCCCGTTTTATCCTCTTAATACTCTCTCAACACATGGGGTGACAACGAGAATATTGCAGGGCACGAGCACCCTGTCATAACTCCCCTCTCTCCGTCTTTCTCTCTTTTCACAGTGCAGCACTGCAGTGCCTCTCTGCACATGCCCAGACAGACAGAGAGAGCCACAGCAAGTTTGAGCTCACTAGAAATATTAACAGGCTGCATCACAGACACATTCATGTACTCTTTCAAGCTATGCATGCATTATAAGCAAAAGTATTGTTTAATGAACCTGACAATGAATTATTCAATGGTAATTTTGAGATGTTAAAATGCATCAAGGGTGACACATTTGCTGTAGAATCAAACCTGTGACTTCTTATTTGCTGGGCTTTCCTTTGTGTCAAGGTCACTCTGCCTCCCACATGCTTTTTACAAAAACTGTCATAGGTTGTTGACGCTTTAATAGTCTCAAACTACCTCTCTAAAGTCTTACACTTAGTGAACTGTCAACGGGGGGGAGCCTCGCTGCGGGGAAACGGTGGACCTGTCGCCTGTCCGCCCCTGCCGGGACCGAAGTGGGCCGATCGGAGTGGCCCTACCGGCCCACTTTTGTACCGGCCCATCGGGATTCGTCCCGAACGTCCGGATGGCCAGTCCGCCACTGATTACATTGTTCACTCTATTTAACTATCTTTATAATGTATACAATAATGCAATACCAAGTTACATTAAACTATTACTAATACAAAATGAGAATAAATGTAGCTGGTTACCTAATTTTAAAACAGTTTTTTGTTGTTTTTCCATTTAGAGTAATCCTGGTGGATTAATACTCTTTTTTGCTTGTTTGCCATGGCAAAAGAATATGATTCATTTTGCTTGTTGAAACAGCTATGACAAACCATGCAATCAAGGAGGATACAAAATTGTGATTCAAAATCACTACTCACCAAATGACAAAATCGAAAAGAGAATAGGAGACATTTCATCTTAGAAGCGACAAATGGGTGTGTTGGTAAATCTGAAAATGTAAAGGAAAAACAAGTCGAAGGGAGATCTCTCATACTTGCATTATTTTATGGTTATTTTGCTGCATCCAACATATGAGAGTGGAGCTTATGGGGAAGATAAATCATCTGTAAATTATATTTAATATCAGATGAACAATAAATAAGACCGCCGTTACATTTGTTTGTTTGTATATTTTGTTATTGCTATCTCTATTACCCACATCCTTCTTAAGGCTAGATATAACTTACTGATCTCTTTTGCACCTCCATCTGTTTATGTATGGACTCAGAACTGCTTGATATATGCGCCCTCATGTTCCTACATTTTGTGTTTCTTCACACAGGTTTTCTGCTTTTGTATTTATTCTGTAAATCTTTTACCTTTAAAGCATGTTGTGCTTAAGCTTGAAAAAGTAATAAGTAAAGTAAATGATAATTATTACTGTTCATATTGTTATAATTCAAAGAAAGGTTGACATTTAAAATAAAACATTCACATATTCTCAAGGGCAATGAAACTGTTTGTTTGTGTTTTGACTGCTGATCCTCCCTCCATAATGACCATGGAGAGATCCCTTCCCAGTGCAATTTCAAAATAAGACGGGTTATACTTGAAAAAACCAAACCCATAGACAATGATGTATAACCCAGCTTATAATACAAGGAAAACCTATTATAATACATAATGTAGCTGTTCACATCTTATATTTGTTTTCTTTTTGGGGTTTTACAAAAGTATCATGGGTAGATGTTCTACAGCAAGCCAATCAGGAAAGCAAAGCAGAGCAAATGGAGCACAGCCATCATCACTTTGGCTCTCACTCCTCCACTGTTG